ACCCTAAGGGGCTGAGGTAATCCGCTGAGGTGGAGCCGGGGTAACCCACCTGTCCAATATAATATAGAAAGAACCTTTAAATACAGAGGTTCACTCAACGCGTAAATAAAACCCACTGGTTCTTTCTTGCCGGATCTCTAATGTAGAGATGGTAATACCAGACGTCACTTGAAGTCGGAATTAAAACAAAACTGAATGCAAGGCTAGCAATACGACAAAGGGCCGTTTTATTTGAGGCCAATATTTCGGCTAACAAAATAAGCCTTCCTCAGGGCAAGAGCTACACTTTAAAAGAATCCTATAATGGCTCCTTATTTGAATTTAAATTTACATGAGAGATTAATGATAAACTAAAAATGAAAGCAATAGTTAACATGATAGATAAATAAATTATAAAATAAAGTGATCGATAAGGTACAGTTCAACGTTTGTCCTTACGGTTTAAACCATCTGGTGAAAGAGTTTTCCCTCTGTTTATGAGGTAAGCTTCTCTTGCTTTACGACGTGACATGCCAAGTGTAGGTTGACGTTCAAGTGGAGTAAGTTCTATCTCTTATATATATGGTCACCCTACTTGGAGCCCCTTCCTATCATGTAAACGTGATTAAATTAAAGTGAGAGATAATATGGACAGGCGGATTAACTTAAATACTTGGAGTCCCCCACCTACACGTAAGCAAGCCCCAATCTCGTTCCCAGGGTTCTCTCCTACCCGCCCTCTCTCGCTCCGTAGGGCGGATAGGAGACAACCCTGGGAACGTGGTTGAGCAGGCCCTTAGTGGGTGCTGGCCTTAGAGAGTTGAGTATAGACTGAAATACCACTCCATACATCATTACAATACGGCAGGTTTGTTTTATTTTTTGGTGATTTGAGTCCAATATAAATATCGCAAACGTTGTATTTCATATAACTTTGGATGGCTACTATTCTAAAAAAAGTTCAAAATTGTTTTAAATCCTTTCAAAGTTCTTCCCTACATCTGGGGGCCATGGATGGATCAAAAAAGTCACTTCAGGCGTCCTCTTCATTTTTTTCGCATTTTTGCTCGCCTCGGACGATATATTAAATTCTCAAATGGAACACTCGCTACCACAACACGCGAACAGTTTACACAGACACGCGACTTAAACCACAAATACAACGAAATGTAACGAACATATCCGCCAGCAGACAAAACGCAAGTAAGAATGTTGCTATAAAGCTTGCTGATACAGACGACAGTGCACGCGATACTATGAAAGATAACAACAGCTTCGAGCGAGGAGAAGTGAACGTGACGACGCCACAATGGCTTTCTGCAAAGATTGAGTGCGTTTTTTTTTGTCTTTATAACAATAAATTATGCTACTCTTGCTCCGGTCCATGGTCCAGCAGTGGTTAGCTACTTGAATTTTCCGCCGCGACCTCCGCTGTCCCGATCCCTGCCAGATCTCCCACTGGATCCAGCATTACCACCGCCGCTGTTAGATCCAAATCCCCCTCCGCGGTTGCTCGAGCGGGATCCAGTTCCTCCACGGCCAACTTGACCACCGCCTCCGCTCGCGCCGGCACGCGCGTTTCCACGAGCACCTCCACTACCCCCTCGACGATTTCCGCCAGAACCGCGCCCAACTGTACCACTAGGCTTCTTTTCTTCTATGTTGATTTCATGGTTACCAATTTTGATCGGCTGGATAAAACAAAAACAACATCAGCAATATAAAGATTAGCTAGTCACTCTGAGGTTCTGAGTGAGTATGGTGTTGTAACGAACTTCACGATGGGACTGGCTATTGTGAAGTTGCGCAGGGAACTGAGTAGACTGGCCCACAAGACGAGCCCAATATTTTTCTCGAGCGCGAAGCGCGAGCAGGAGATTTTTTTGTGTTTACTGCGACATGAAAGCGAGTGAGAGAGCGGGGGTTCGACTTGTTTCCCCTGCAGAAAATCGCATCAAATGACGGCATTTTGGCGCGAACTATTTGCGTCCCCGTCGCGTGTCAGACTGGATGGAGCTGTGGCCTACTACCGGAACCGGAAATGAGAAGCGAAGGACTTTAAGAAAGACCAGGAACTGGGTCAGAATTCGTCCCCCAAAACAGTCCCTTAATGCCATTCGACACACCACTGACCCAGTCTCTCCAGCGGGGTAACCTAAACACGACTAACAAACGCTGCAAGTTTTCCCATCGTGGACTTTCCTACGTTTCCAATTTTCTATGACTAACTGCTATATTTAACGATCAGAGAATGAACTGTTTTGGTTTCACACTCACTCTGTTGCTAAGGATTTGTTCCACTGGTTCAGGGCTGTTGAAGATGACAAATCCAAAGTTCTAAAAACAAGACACAACAATCAGTAAAATAAAAACAAACTTCCTCGGGGGTAGTCAATAGCATTTACGAGAATAGAAGCAAAGAAAAAGGAAAAAAAAATCTGAGTAGAAGAACGTAATTAGCCGATGACTATGTGTGGGTTAATACAACAAAGCCAGACTTAAACCGGCGGCCCAAAAATTTTATTCTATTTTGATAATTTGTTGCAAATTGTTTAAGTGGACTACCCCTAAACAGGCTTCTCTACATTGGTACAGGTAGTTAGCTTACATTACAAGATGTCATGAAAAATAAATGCGTAATATGTCTCTTTATGTTTGTATACCTTGGGGTTGAGTCGTATTTCCAGTATCGTTCCATACTCTGCAAAGAAGACAACAAAGTACACTTCAGACAGTATTACATAACGTAAATATTTTAACTACATTTGTAAGGGGAAAAGTCCCAAGAAAAGTTTTTGTAGGTAGGTAAAATACTTGAAATTCACTTTGTTTAATGATAACAGTACACTGAGTCTTGAATTCATCTCCTGATGAACTTGGTAGCTGCAGGCGATGGTGTTTGTTTGCTGGGGGGGGGGGAGGGGGGTGTTCTAGGGGCGTCTCAACAATAGAATTCTCCCCCTTCCCTCCCATCCCCCTCAAATATGATAAGAGACTTTTAGATTTGAGGACGAGGATGAACACAAGGATGAGATTTGCCTTCAAGTTTTTTTCTCATATTTAAAAAAAATAGACACCCCGGAAAACTCCATTGTACTTTTTGTCACCAGAAGAGTTAGCACAGTTATTATTTATTTGAAGGTGGTTAAGCCCCCTCCCGATTACAAAATGATAAAACTTTTAACATTTGATGACTTGTTCCCGCCACAACGACATGCACGCTAAAACCTGCAACAGAATGAGGACTTTAAAAAGTAGTTCGTCTTCCTGCCAAAGTAATGCTGGATCACGGGTGTGCACTACTTCGCTTTGAGAAAATCTCGTTCTCGAAGTCGTCCTCTTCTTTAAATCTACAGGTCTCTAACACTATATACACGAGTTAAATTGCACGGGGGCAACCTAATGCGCAACCAATTGCTTTGCATTTTCTTCTCATCCCAGTTTCTTCTTTCAAATTCAAACAGCAGCCAAATAGAGGAAAAACAAAGCACTAACTAATCCAATGAAACATGCATTGCAGGCTACGGGCAACTTGGACGTAAGTACTCGTTCAATACTTACTTGCAAACACATTTCGCACTTCATCATCCTTGACATTATTAGGTAGGTTGCCAATAAACACCTGATGATTATCAGGGGCATTCCTTGCACTCATCCTTGTCTCTCTAGTGCCTGGGCCTCCACGGGTTTCCTTGGACTGGCGGGCTGAAGGAGCCTGGGGTCTAGGCGGTGGTGTAAACATAGTCTGGGCAGGAGCCTGGTGTCAAAATTATTAAGCATTGGAAAAGGAAGAAGCACAAGGATGTTTAATCTTGAAGATCAGAATAAGGCGATGTATACAGCTGTACAGATGTACTTATGTTGGTGCCAAAGAATTTACATCAATCCACCATGGGGTAATATAAAAGGAATTTGTGTTTGTGCTGATGAGCATGCTAGCAATGTCCCATTTTAAATGTGTAACATAAAAATGCAAGTATAAGCATGTGAGCAGAAGAAGGAAAATTATTCCACTTTATGGAGCACTGAAAGAGACATTGTCTCTTGCAATGCGCATGCTTTACTGCACTATTTATGCTTATACTTGCTCCATGTGTAAACCACCATTTAACCTTTCAAAATCAATACAGTGCACATAAAATCACCAGTCTCAAACCTCACCGGTTGTGGCTGTCGGGCGGGGCGTGAGTTTGTGGCGGGAGCTGTGTTAGTTGGAGCTGCCGGTGAGCGGGATGCGGCAAGTGCAGCCCAGGTCTTTGGTTTCTCTTGAGCTGAAATCAACATCATATACAAATGATATAAAAAGCTACAATGGAACCTCTACTCAGGGGACACCCGCGAGACTAAGGCAAGTGTCCCTTGAATGGGGATCCTTATATAACATCTTCTTACAGCTGTACCATTACATTGCAGTACGAGTGATAACTCCAAAAGGATCCAAAAGGATCATAAATGTTGACTTATTTTATTTGCCCAAGTGTACAATTTTTTTTTATAGATTTTAGAAACTAAGAACCAGCTTCAAATTTTCGGCTAAACACGTTCTTGATAGTTAGGGCCTAACTGGAAAATTTAAACCTAACAGGTTCTTAAAAGCCAGGGGCCAGTTTCTCGAAAGTCCCGATAATTAACGGGCCCGGTAAGCTGTCTCCGTTCACATTAAAGATCGAGGTTTCAAAAGTTTTGCATCTAGCATGATAAAACTATCAGTTAGTGAAACAAAATGGAGTAGTCTGCTAGCCAGGACCCTGGCTCTTATTCTTTATATTTCGATTTGAATATTTGATATCCGGCCCGAAAAGTTACCGGGACTTTCGAGAAACGGGCCCCAGGTTCTTAATCACAGGTTTTTACTGTATTACATGTGAACAATCCTTGAATGTAGGTACCTGGCTCTGTAGGTTCACCCATAACATCCTCTAAAGGTGCCTCTGGCTCAGTCCTTGCTCCTTCAGGTCCTTCTGCGTCATCAACCTCAGGCTGCTCTGGTTCAAATGGAGTCTCACCAGACTGATCATTTGCAGGCGATGGTTCCTCCTCTTCTTCAGGCAACTGAATTACAGCAGAAGTCTCTCTAACAGGTTCCTGGTTAGAAATTTGAGGGAATAGATTATCCTTCAATAAAATGAATGACAGACATACCCTGGCTTTTTCAAGTATCACCCCCTTCCATTTAACGTCAGCTGAACAGACAGTGGCTCAAAGTGAGTCAAACAAACATCTTTAAGCAAACATTTTGATTTCACGAGTAAACATTTTGCAATACAAATTTGAGAAAGAAAGAAAACATTCTTAGTTTGTGGCAAAATAAAGTGATTCATGAACTAAACATTATGAGAGGAGGAAACTGGCTTTCATATCAGCCTCTAGCCTTTGGTTTTGTGTAGAATCTATGTGCACTTTCGCTGCACACTTGCACTCTACAAGGTTAGCAAAGAGAAAAAGTTCCTTCTATTCTCTCCACTGGGGATAACAGGGTTGTCACTAAGATTTCAAGTTGCCGGGCAAATACAACAAGTAGGCAGGGAATCAAATGGCTAGGGATTTCTTTTGCTTCTATTTTTCTTCTGTTTTCCAATAAAAGTATCCGGGGGCCACTCTCTTAGTAGCCGGGGAAAATCCCCGGCCCCCGGCTCTTAATGACAACCCTGGAATAATAATAATATCTGTTTTCAGGCTATAAAAATATGCACTACAAGCAACCTACAGTATTATGTTCGTACCTGTGGATGTTTGTCGATGACGACTTCTTGAAGTTCAAGTGATTCTTCACCTTCATCATCATCTTCCTCATCCAGCAGTGGTTCCTGGTTCAACAACGCTGTCGAACTGTGTCAAAAAGCAACTTAAAAGTTAGTATTTGTTAAAAGGCGTGAAATTCTCTCATTGATTGGTTACTTCAAGGTCACATGTACATGTAGCCATCTCTGCTTTCTCCTTGCCGTTAGGGACATTTTGCAGAGATACGTCTGCACCTCAATGACAGAAATTCCATAGTGATAATGTAAAATCTGTCCAGAAACTGCCAGGTCAGGAACTCTGATTGGTCAACATAGATTATATTCTTTTAGTTATTGTTTACGCACGATAGAAGAAGACAGAGGTCAAATGTAAATGCAATATGTATAATAAATCTATTGTAAAACAGTCAACAATTTTATTGTGGAATTTATTATTCTCTTGAGTTTTGGTTCCACTCTTTCACAGGGGAACTCAAACTCTGAGATCACAGACCAGAAACATAAATTCAAAGAAATTTACGTAAATTTGGAACCCCATGATTACCAGATTATCTAAACATTGATTTACATTATCATTATAGCATTGTAATTGAGGCACAAATGTCCTCTCTGTGAAACATCTAAGTGGCAAGGAGAGAGGAGAGATGGCTGTATTGGCAGGCTACGTCACATGACATCTAACAACAAAACTGTTTTTAAGCTGGCAAAATTGCAAAATCTTTGACACCATAAGATAAAAAACGCAATTTGTCACACATGGAATTTGATTTTGGAGGCCCTTCAAAGTGAATTTCAGTGCATTTTGCAGAACCAGGTAAATAATTTTAGCCATCAGCGATGAGGATGACATTCCAGTGGCTTTAAATTCTTGATGGAAGGAATTCGAAGTTGTTGCACATTTTGCTGTGTACTCATACAGAATACAACCAATCAAATACAATCTCGTAGGACTTTCAGCGGCACAGGTGAAAGTAGGAAACAACTACTAAGAAAGCAAGGAAATTTCATATTACCCATTGGTTTGTCCTGACTCGGTATAGTACAAATTTTCACTTGGAATGTCTTGCACAATAGCCTGCTCCTGCTTGGTTTGATCATAACTGCTGACATTATTCACTGGCACCTGTTGTGGGTGCTCTTCTTCACCTTCAGAATCTACAAAAATGTCAAAAACATAGGATCATGAGTTTTCTCACACCATATTTATTGTTCATAAGCACAGAACAATAACTTGAACTCAAGACTTCTGAAGAGAGGTGGATTGTTCCAGAGCAAGTCTGCTAAGTACCATCTCCAATTTGCAGGTCATTGAGAAACAGGCCAAGAGTGAGATCATCATACAGTCCCTTCTACTATGGAAATGCCAAGTGGCCCTGTTCATTCAAGGAAAATCACATTCTGAGATATAATCTCATGGGATTCCAGAATTGACAGGGAGGATCTTGCTCAGATCAGACTGCAAAGTGTGGAATAAGATTGTCCAGAGCATCCCAACTGAAAGGGCCAGATGATGATGATGATGATGATCAAGTATTTTTCACGCTTGAGTCCAGCCAGACTACCAAACTGGAACTTTATTATCATGCTTGAAGTGTCTCAGTTCAAATGACAACACTATTGGGCAGTTTATCAATTCATTGACATTGTTTTCTTCACTGTTCCTGATCAGTTAAAAGGCATGAAACAATGGAACTAAAATTGCTGTTTGAAAAAGGGTGCTCTTGGTGAAATTTGCCAACAATATCTTTTACCCTTTAACTTCCACAAACCATGAATGCAAAAGAAGGATGGTGGAAAAGTATTAGTCAAGAACTGTTCTCATTCTTTACAAGTAATGGAAACACTATTGCTTCTTCTTGTTACTTGCACAAATCAGCCCTAATTAACGCACTTTCGTCTTCAAGTAACCTCCACTACCAACAGTCATTGACAGCTGATGTTCACTATCACAGAGCTTAGGTCCATCCAGCGTCTCTCCATGATTCTTGCTATACTTTGGCAATGCTTTATTAAAGGAAACTATGTACCTTGGCTGAGAAAGTTCATGTGTATTTCAACTTACCAACAGTTCCATCAGCTGGTTCATCACTAGTATCTTCTGAAAACACCTCATCTTGGTAGCGGAATATGTCATTGTGAACATAATACCTTTTTGGACCCTGGCAAAAATATCATCAAAGGATTGGAAATTAAAGGGGTCCTCTTACATTTTACAAGTAAGCCAGCCATTGGAATAAATATATACATTATTAAATAAATAAAGATTTACTCCTCATTTTTCTGTGTTTGAGAGCTATACAAACAAGATAGATCATTACATTCGTTTTCAAACTCTTGTGAGACAGCAAAATGCTCATGGGAAGGGGAACACCATGATATCGTCCTTGTTACAGCAGCAATTTCCACTTTACCCTGCTGAAACCAAGATGGTGGCCACTTGAAAATAGTGATTAATCTAAACAATAATATAGCATTAAAACAACAATAACATGTACATATTTTGAACAAACATATTGGCTCACTGTCATTAAGTGGAGAAATAAACAATTTTATTGATCGATTGATTGTATTATAACAGTAAAAGTACTGACCTCGCCAGGAGCCAAGACAAAGGTCTGCATGAATCTTCGCATGGGCTGTCCATCGTTAGACAGTTCACCAGACACCTGCATAAAGAGGTGGTATGCTTTTTAATACAAAACCTGAATAAAGACACTTGGATCATCTCAAACAATCTGAACCAAAAAGCTCTTGTAGTCTGAGGATAGCTACAGTATTTGCAAATGAATAATTTTCCACAGCATTTAGATTCTTATTAACTGTTCAAGTCCCAAAAGTGACCAACATAAATTTTCTCCTCACAATAACGACAGATCATGAAGAGACAAGGTTACCTGCACCAAAGGAAAAATGTTTTGATCTTCTATCAAATTCTCTCAACTACAGTAGAAGTTCTCCTCAAGGACACTCTTGTAAGTGGACAACTCTACTAATATAGCTGCCTTCACAAAACCCTGTTTTTCTCAACTTTTATACAACCTCTGTATTTTTACATTCCCGTAAGTGGCCAGCTCCAGTTACAGACATCGTTTTTCGTATCCTGAGGATGTCTGCTTACGAGAGTTCCCACTGTAATTTCTCACAGTAATGTACCAAAATAAGTCTGGAGAATTTGTAAGTTGATACTGGGGCTTGAAGGGTTGGGTTGGATCACAATAGCAACCAGAGGATACAACATACGAAAATTTCACCTATTCATGAAGACTTCCTTTTTATATAAACAAAAATGAAATACCAGGTGTGCTTTCATGCAAAAAATGAAAAAAAAAATGTTATCTTTGCACCTTTTGCAGCAAAAATTTTTTTTTTATAGTGAAATGGTTTGATATTTCATTCGGGTTTACAATGTATATGTTGTGGTTCAAATTTATCCTTGGTTTAAATTTTATTTTCCTTTGTTTTGGGGTATGGTAATGTATGATAATGAGTTTGAAACAAAGGAAAATAAAATTTAAACCAAGGATAAAACTGAACCACAACCTAAATAATAAGGGGAACATTACATGACTTCTTGGAGAAAGGAAATTCTAATTCTAATGTTATCTTAACACCTTCTGCAACAAAAAAATGCTTTATTGTGAGAAGGTTTGGTATTTCGTTGGGGTTTACAGGGTACACAATAAGGAGAACAGTACAGCTGGACTGCTTGGAGAAACATATTTCTCTTCTCACTATGAAAAAAAACATTTCCCTTGTTCACTGCATTCACTTGTGGAATATTCTTCAACACTCAAAGACAATAATTTATTGTGTATCTCAGTGCCGCCATGTAATATCTTCTATTGAGAAATTTTTGTTTTATTCATTATTAGTGTCAAAAGGGAAAAGAAAAAAACAGAGTGCTGATCCATACTAACCTGTACTACCACCCCTCCTCCCACAGTAGAGTGGCTGTCCACTTGTCTGATTTTTGTGTGACAGTCATGGAAATTTAGTTCCTTGATCTTGCTGTAGATTGCCTAAAAAAATAAGAACTAAAAGCTTGAGAAAGCAAAAACAAAATTAAAGACAAAGTCCCATTTGCCACCCCATTTTCATTACAGTTGTGACTCTGATGGTCTTTGCTGACCACATTCTAAGTATTTTCCTTGTCAAAAACATCACATAAAGGTACACCATTAATTTGTGACCTCTCAAACAAAAGCATACACTAATGATAATCCTTTAAACGTTAGAAAACTATTGGATAGCTAATGGTTTGTCCTAAAGTTCTAACGCTTTGCCCTGACCTTCTAACAGTTTGCACAGCGCTCTAACGGTTTGTGCTAACTGTGAAAGGTTTGACTCCAAGAGTCGTTGAGTGTTCCAAAGGATTGTAAAACACACATTTGACTTTCTTGGCATTTTAAACAATATAGTCATAATATTTGAGGCACAGTGTACATTCATCAAGGCCCTATTTGTTACTCCTGATATTCCATTGTAAGATTACAACTGAATATCTAGGGTCACTTAATTTAATTTAATAAATTATTTATTAAATTTTCCCTTTGATTCACAAGCAGGTACAAGGTAAAGGGAAGGAGAATCCAGGATTTTATCAGAATTCACCTATTGCTTTATTCCATTACTACCAGCCAATAATATCACCTAGTGTGCCTTACCCAAACCAAGATTGGCCAACAGCCCATGTCAAGTTACTCACCCATGGCAACAGAAGATCAAGCACTTACAGCAATCATGAACAAATGATCATGTTTGCATGGGTCAACAGCCTTAACAAACACCCTATGCTGTGTTCCCCAACATTAAAAGCAAAAAAATCACAACCTTCATTCAACCTGGGTGAAGAATTGAGCTCAGGTTATGTACATGCACATTTGAAGCAATTGTCTAAACAGCTATCTAAATAGCCACCCAAAAGTAAACCAGCCACAGCCCATATCAAGTTACTCACCCAGGGCAACAGAAGATCAAGCGCTGACATGACCCAGCAATCATGAAAAAATGATCACGTTTGCATGGGTCAACAGCCTTAACCAACACCCCTTGCTGCATTCCCCAACATTAAAAGTTAAAAAATCACAACCTTCATTCAACCTGGGTGAAGAGTTGAGTTCAGGTTATGTACATATATATTTGAAGTAATTATTGTCTAAACAGCTATCTAAATAGCCACCCAAAAGTACTAGTAGTACGAGGGTAAAAAACAAGACAGATCTGAGTTGAATGAATCCAACTCGCAAGAAAGCTTCTCAGGTTTATGTATGAGGTTTTCTATTCGCATTACTCCTGTTATATTACAAAAGCCTGTATAAAGCAAGTAGCATCTCATACCTCTTGACCAATCACAGGGGGTTCAGAGGGTCCATTTTCAGCCCTCCCATGTAGAAACCAGGACTGCTTGGTATAAAACCTGAAAATTGTGACCAAGAAAATGCACCTCAAAACTTTGTTACTTTCCACACTGAGGGAATATACATCTTTGTTTTTGCAATTTAATGGCAGCTCATCAAAGGCCTTTGTCACATTTACATCTCGTTTTGGAGTGAAATTTTTTATACAGATGTAGGAAGAAAACAGGTGTGGTACAGTACAGTAAATAATCTTAGGACCATCGTTTGTTGAGATTGATCCCCAAAAAATTTTGCTACCATGGCAACATGACCTAACAATTTCTCCTCTCTATTTCATCCACTACTAATGATAAGGTAAGTAAAGGCGCACATGAACCAAAGGCCCAAACAGCCAGAGCTTATACTGGTTTCCGTAGCATGAAGCATAACTAGAAGTATTGCTACTACCCCCTGAAAGGGATGCTAGTCCATTGCAGGGTTACCCCCCCAGCAGTATGTCGCCAGTACCCATGGAGACGTGCGTGGCCGAGCGGTTAACACCTCGAACTCTGGATCTGGAGGTAAGGGGTTCAAGCCTCGCCATTCCCATTGTTTCCTGAGACAAGGAACTTTACTCCACTTTGTCTCTCTTCACCCAGGTGTATAAATGGGTACCAGCGACACCCACCACTAATAATGATAAAAAATTCATAATACCTGTGGATCTGAACTGGTTCTTGATTAAGGAGGGTGTAATACTGCCGGACAAATTCTCGCCCAACACATTGTGGAGATGGTACAGTCACCATCGTTTATTGAGCTAAAAGAAAACAGTGCAAATTAATACCTTATTATAGGAAATTAACGCTCCATGAAATTAAGATACTGGAAATTAACGTGACTTAAATTAATGCAAATTTAATGGAAAATGACTTCTGAATGATGAAAATTATTGTGAAAGAGAGGGTAGCATTTCAAAATGAAAGAAATCAATGCGACGTTCACAAAGAAACGAAACTTGTTGAGAGAAGAGGAACAAAGTTAAATATATAATCAGAAATAAACACTTTGTTCATGTTACTTTCCCTAAAAGTACGAAGGGGGTCAAGCAAGGAATTCTCGCATACTTTGAGGTTTCTTCACAGTCTTACTAAGACCAAACTAATGGAAACTAAGGTCGCAGAAATTAATGCTCCACTTAATAAATGGAGCGCAAACTAATGTTTATACAAATTAACGTGATTCATACTAATGCAGACTTTTTCTTTTTTTATCTTTTTTCTTTTTTTTCACTTCACCTCCTGTGGGCAGCATGAAATATCTCCTTTTCCCTTGTTAGTCTGCTTTTACATGTTAAAACTATTTGATGTGTAATAAATTGCTGTTGCTGTTTTTGTTTCTTGTTACACAAGAATTTGACTCAAAATAATGAAGTTAAAAAAATTTATCTCCCAGTTATTCAGACTCTATAATAAGATAATCTCATGGCATTTAAAGGCTGCATGGTACAAAGATGTTGGAACATCAGTGGATGTTCTCACATTCCTTGATTTTCATACATTTTGTTGTCACACTAATACCTTCCCTTTGGACATTGCTAAGGTTTTCAGGAAAAAAAGGCATGAAGCTATCAGTTTCAGTTAGCAAAACATTTTTTGCCAGATGTCTTAGACTGAAAGTATTCAAATATTATGTGGTTGTGCTTTTCTAGATCTGGAGTATAAAATGAGACAATGGATTCTCACACAAACACTGCAGCTTTCACCACGCTTGCCTTTTTCCGTGAACTCCCACATCACTTGTGTGTGGATTGGTACACTATAATTATTATCAGTCAATTTAACTAGGATTTTTTATTACCCCCTAATGGGTTCAATTAAGAAACCATACTAATGATAAGGTCATATTGTATATTATGTATCCTGAAAAGTCAGTGAACAATATCAGACAATCAGAAACGAAATATAATAAAAACAGTACATTATGCTGTGCGTTGCTGAAAACTAACGTAATTTCTGTTTACACACTCATCGGTACTTCCTTTATCATGGCAATTTACAGTTGTACCTGGGAAACTCTTCACAAAGAGCCTAGCACGAGGATCTAAGCTCATTTTCCCTTAAATAATACATTTTTATCGGTAAATAACGCTCCTAAAGACGCCCTAAAAATTTACCACGCTGATGACCCTTACCAAACGCATTCCTGTACAAAATGATTTTTCAAGTGAGAAAAACTAACAATCTGAGTAATCAACCGGCAACTTCTTTATTTTCAACAGAAAAAGCGAAAATCGAGCGCCAAACAAATCAAAATTTTTGTGGCCTAAACCTTATGACGCCGGAGGAAATGACACATTTGTCAAATGAGGCTTTAACGGTAGATATTCCAAGCTATCATATAAGCAAGAGAAGTGGATTCCGAAGCGTTAAATACAACGATCAAGAGCGAATTGAAAAGACACAGCCCTTGGAAGGTATGAATTGCGCCGTTCGTTTGGTGCACGCCTGGCTCCACTGGCTGAAGCTACCTGAAATTTAGATGCTTTATGCAAGTTTACCTTCGTGAATCCCCGTAACTAGCAAAGTATAATCATCAGCAGCATTTCCACTTCCAAACCGCCGGATCGTAAGGTTATTCCATAAGTCAAATGGACAATTTTCCTTGTCTTTCGAACGAAATTTTCACCTCACAACTGCTCTAACAAAATCACATGTGCGAACATGCGCAGTAGTGACTTCTTTCGCAACTGCAACCCCAGACTTCTTCGGCTTTTTTGAAAAATCGAAGTCGAGGCTCTTCGATCCGCGTTTTGCTAGCCCAACAATTTCAAGGACTACTCAAGGACAAATTACAGTTTTCAAGGACTAAGATTTATTCTTTAACCCCCTCTTAAAAACCTTATTGGCTAAAACACTTAATGGAAGCTAATGAAATCACTATAGTCCGATTTTTACTTTGTCAGCCATGGTTGATCACATTAGGGCCGTTTATATGAGAAAAAATAAGCCGCGGCTTAGTCTGGCTTACATAAGTCGCGAAAGGAATCATTTTAGTTTTTACGACTACGGCTTACATAAGACGCGAACTGCTGGTATATTATGCCTCACGACGTAGTTTGTTTTGGTGCCTAGCGTATATTTGGGAAAAGCGAAACAATTGGCTTTGGTCTGGAAAATCGCCATATTTTAATTTCTTTTTCGTTTCAAAATAACATTTCGTTCAAGATTAGCGTTGGGCTGTTGCGAAACTTGTGGGGAAACCTCGACGAAAAGTTCGTCAGCGATCAATCGAGTGGTTTGAAAGAGATGTTCCAGGGATGCATATGGATGAGGTGGAGTTATTTGCAGGGTTGTAGCGGGCCACTTTTTCCCGCCACTTCAGCGCGCCAACCTGGTCCCCAGGGCGCTTTTCCCTGGCTTTGGATGTGGGCGGGAAAATTTGTTAAACTATATATTTTTTGTTTTATTCTTTTGTTTACTTCTTCATCTCCTTGCCATAAGGATCAGTTTACCGTGTCATATTTTTCTACAAGTTTAATTGTACTGATCCAGGTCTACAACTGGGAGATCCGGCACCACTCATTGGTTTGTTGCTGTGGACTTGCTGATATTCTATACTTTTCAAGGACCTTAACCGAATTCATGGACTTTTCAAGACGACTTCTAAAATTCAAGACCTTTTCAAGAGTGCACGAACCATGGCTTCCATCCCCCACGCACTGGCAGGCTAAGATAACTTAGGTTATATTCATACTTGGTCCTCGTCAGGAGCCAATTACCCTCGCTCCTGTGCTCGTGCACGGTACTCCCTGGATCGATGGGCACTAATGTGAACGCACCCTTTTTCAAGTTCTCACACCAGAATTCAGGTACAGTGCCCGTGCTTGAGAGACCTTGCACTGATGTGAGGCAAGTGGGTGCAATGTCCCTCGAGTGTGTCCACACATTTTTGTTGGTTCAAAGGCAATCTACTGCCCTGCACACCCTTTCCCTGCTACACCCATTTTTTCAAAATTGCGTCTGACAGGATGAAATGGAGTAAAAATGTATACAGGAAGGTGTGAACACACCACCATTTTGTCCTGGTACCCGTGCACTGGTACTCGGGCACCACCTGTGAACAGGCTCTAGGTCTACAAAAGATGAAGGCAATCAGGACCAGAGGCTGATCGACTGATAACGAAAGGTAGGGACCTATCGGGTGTCTTTCCTGTAGAGTTGACTGAAGAAGCAAATACTAAAAAAAAATAGGATCCCTAGCTTGTTCTTGGTTGTCTCATACTATCTTAAGCCAAAACTTTTGCATGCTAAAACACCTTAACAAGATATCAACATTTGTAGGCCACTTCTGAATTACATTCAGCTTCACTTTCAAAGCATGTTCTGGTGCTCATCTTTTCGTGTAGGAATAAGCTTTAGGGCACTTACCCAGTCCAGTCTAGTCGTAAGGAGAATTTCACTATTAATCTGGACTATCCAGCTTGATCAGTTAATTCCTTATGGTATGCACGCAAGTGATGTGTTTTAATGAAAAATTTAAAGAAGAGACTAATTTTTCATTTTCAAAATGATCGGTCTAGCTGGCCCCAGTTCTGATTTTTGGGAAACGCCTTCACAGCAAATTGGAGGTTGGTGGCCAAGTAATCTACCATATAGCAGCAGCAGACACTTCGGTCTGTCCCTTTGGTGATTGTACTAGAGAGGTTTGACTTAGTCTCTTATTTTTCTTTTGAATCACAGTAAACTGAGAGCACGCACGAGGGGTGAGTGACGAAGCCGCAAGAAATGAGGGCTGAAGCAAATAATGAATGTAAATTATAAATGTACATAATAAATGTAAATAATAATAATTATTATTATTATGAAGCACGAGCCAAGAAAAACATTTTCTCTCTATCCTCTCTTCCTTATATTTTTAAAATTGTTCGCTCAGCACACGTGGCTCTGAGGAAGAAGGACGATTGGTCGTGGTCTATTTTTGACTTTATCAAGAGAGGTGTGGCCGATCTGCAAATCACGACAAAATGTAATGGGTGACAACTGACATTTCTGACCTCCCGATTGAATATTGCAATCTCGAGCTTGTCTCCAAGCAAGCTCTTGGGGATGTAGTCTCCTTAGCAGCTGCTCGCAGCCTCTCTTTCCTCAAAAGCTTGCTCACAGGCTAAGCAAGAATACAAAATTGTGCTTTATTTCTGAGAAAGATGGACCACAAAAATCCATTTTATTTCCATATTGCAAACAATGTGGGAAGGCAAATAGTTGTTATTTACAATGAAATATGACTACCTGAATAATATTATTGAAGCTTCAATGATCACAAAGACATTAAAAACTAACACAACTGTAATTTATAAAAATAAATGCTAGACTAAGGCTTACTTCCACAAGAACAACACAAACAATAATAATAATAATAAGACACTTAATGACACCATAAACCAAGAACTATTTTTCAAACATACAAGAAACAACACATGGTCATTTTCATATTAAATTACAAAAGAAGAATGTACTTTATCCACCCTAGTTTGCACCTGTCATTTAATATCTGCATGTACAACCAGTCTACAAGTAAATTTTACAGTCAACTTGAACCCTTTAACACTTTAAAATATCACTGCTTTTTATCAACTTTTTTTCTTTTTTCATAAATTAAAAAAGAACAACATACTTTCATCCACCTTAGTTTGTGCCTCTCATTATCTGCATGCAAAACCAGTCTACGAGAAAATTTTACAGTCAACTCTAACTCTTTAAACCTTAAAAATATCACTGCTTTTTATAAAGTTAAGGATGAGAGAATATGGAAATAATCAGGCGTAAAATAGGTCTCACTTTTTTAAAAAAATCATTCTCATCAGTTATCGGTGTAGAGGATTCATGCTGATAACAAGGTTTAACCCTTTTTAGTAAAATCCAACTAGTGGTCTCTTATCAATGCTGCATTCTGATTGATTGAGCTACTACTAGGCTATATGTTATAGCCCAATAGTAGCAAAAAGTGCCGGCTTTGAATACCAAAACAATGGTGGCTGAATTGCATTTTGCTAGCTAAAGTTTTTTTGTCTTGATATTTTTGACCAACTAGTTGGATTTTACTAAAACAATTATTCCTCTCGCCCTCATGGCCTCTGAGTCAATAGCCCGTATGGGCTATTGACTCAGAGCCTATTCGGGCTCAAAGAATAATAACTGTTAAATATCCCAAGGGTGACCAACATCAATTCTTTCCTTACAATACATGATCAACATTTAAGAAATTCTCTCAACTAATTCTTTATGGAAATGTCTGAAGTTTAGTTTGAAGAATTTGTATGTGGATATTTATAGGGCTTAAACGGTAAAAAGCCCAGCTTGCACCTTGCAAACTTTCTTACATTTAATGGCAAAATTCTAATTTAAAGGATAAATTCAAGCTATCATGTTGCTGCTCTTCTATGATACTCTGGTGTTGCAGTTTCATAATCAGTTGAAAACAGGCTATCTGCATGCTTTGACAGATAATCTAAAAAGTCTTGAATATGCGTCACCACAAACTCTACACTTTTCTCATCCAAACTGGAGAAGGAGAGAGCATTGCCAAGTTTAACAAAAAGTCTGAGTAAATGTTCCGCTCCATATATATGTGACATTGGAAGGTTCGAATGTTCAGCAAGAACATCCCCATACTGCGTCCTTTCAAATTTATAAAGTAACTGTGTCCCCAGCATAACATTAAAATACTCTTGTATGCCACCAGCAACTTCTTGCACAACTCCAGGTTTCAAGCCATTGTCAGGGTTAGCAGTTCGAGATTTTACGTACTCATCGAGAATTTCCTTAATGTTCTTTTTTCTTGGAATCGGGACAAGCTGTTTTTGTCGAGTTATAAGATCCCAGTCGTCTATGAGCCATTGCTTGAGATCATCAGGGATTGTAATCTTAACCTCCACACGGGATATGTAGTTTTCATCGCTTTCTATAGCGTTAGCAAGTCTAGATCTCTTCCTCCTTGAAGGCCCAGTCACTTCAACTACCTGTTCAGCAGCCCGTTTCAAACTAGCCTTGTCACTATCTCCTTGCACAATCTTGTCAGTTTTCTTTCTTGACTTCTTGTTCTTTCTGTTTCAAGAAAGTGGAATCAAAATAATTTAATCAGCTTACTCCAAAATTATTTCACAAGTCTTCTTCAACACTGGAAATATTTAATAGTACTACTGTCTACATACACGCTTGCTGCTTAACGCTACAAATGAGAGCCCAAACACACCTAGCAACCAGCAGCCATATTGGTTTTTTTTTTACGACAATTTAAGAACTTTAACACTTTATAACTTCTCTTTTGTTGTAATTCTTGCCTTAAACATGTAAGTGATCCGGCTAGGTAGAGTAGAGTAGAGTTGTTTATTCAGAACCCCTTGCAGCTATGAGCTGGATAACAGGATCGTGCACAAATTACACATAATTAACATTTAACTTATGACAAAAAATCTAAATATTTCACAGATACAAATTCTGACAATCTTTTCGTCTTACACATTTTGTTATTATAGTTCCAGCAGCTTCATAATGAGTACGAGTGAACGGTAGTTACCCTTCCACTCATGGCAAGGCCAAACACAGGGTTGATTGGTTTTCAATTACGCATAATGATTCACAAGCAGCAGCCCTACGGTCTTCTAAAGACAGCAGGCCACTTAGTATCAATGCCTCGTCATAATGTAAATTCGGAAGAATTATCCTAAGGGCGCCCTTTTGAATTCCCTCCAACGCATCAGACAGATACTTTGGCAGATTCGTGAATACAGCTGAGGCGTATTCAATTACTGATCGCATAAGGGAGCAATGTACTTTGATTAGGTCTGATGTCAGCACGCTGCACTTCTTTAGAGTTCTAAGTGCATAGAGGTGATGATTGGCTTTTTTGATTATGTAGTCACAGTGAACACTCCAAGTCAAATCCTCAGAAATATAAACTCTGAGAAGTTTAAAGGATTTGACGTGCTCGATAACAACTCCACCTTTACAGATGGGGTGCCAAGTGCAACTATTACAATCAAGAAAGTCAATCGTCATGGCTTTACATTTAGCTGGATTAAGGCACACGTTGTTGCCACAACTATCATGTCAGCTTCTTTCAGTGCTTCACAACACAACATCAACTTGTGATGTAACTTTCGACAACTTCCTTGAACAAATTTCAGGTCAGCAGTTAGCATCATTCCTTCCCAGACCCTTTCAAACAACCGAGTCTTCGAGTCTTCATTCAAAGCAACATTTGGTGAGTTGATATTCAGTTAGGAGTTAAACTGCGGTCATGTAAGAAAGCTTTTCCTGATGACAGCTGTGCATGCCTCTGCTTGTCACGAAGAAAATAATTCCTGAAATATGTTTCAATTTGGGACAAAAACTACACATAAGTCAGCTTTTCTGTACCCCAAACATTCAGAATTTGCATCTTGTTAGCTCCTTTCTATCCTTTTCATGTGCCCAATCTAATGCAAATGAGTAACAAAGTGGATGGCACGTGAGAAGTTCAACTTCTAAAACCAGCCTAATTTGTTTATGATTTAAATACATTTTGACTACTAATTTGTGATGTCTATCACTGGAACATCTGTGGAACACTATTGAAAGCACACTGTACACCTGTACAGGTTTCCATACTTATCACATTATCCATGACAAAATTTGCAGAAATAGAAACTGTGTCCTCAACTTCTAATTAGTTGAGCAAAAGGATTTGGAGTGAAATAAGATCAGTAATTTTTATTTTTTAGGGAGCAAAATAAGCTCATCGAGATCAGCATTGCCAAATGCTTGATAGAGTGAATGCTTTTCAGAATTTCTTAATCTTGCACTGGATCAGTTTTGTTCCAAATACAGGAAATAGAATAAAATAACAATTAAGTTTTTTTCCCAAGTATTTGCATTTATCCTTCTCTTATTTTATTTCAACTTTTTGAGACTTCTTTAATAACATTATAGAGATTTACTTTCAATCCTTGAGTCACTTTTGAGCATTTTCTAACTATGGAATATTTGGATGAGATGATGTTGTGTGATCAACTATTCATTCACTTGTACTATCACACCACTTTCGTTTTTCTTTAATGTATTTCAATCCAGAAAATGAAATAAGGTATTCTACTTAAATTTCACTGTCCGGCAATCTTATTTGATATGAATTTAGAAACAGTCACTAACATTTTTCTGCCTAAAATGATGCAACAACTGGATATACTGATAACTAAGTTATTGTAATGAAAGACCACTGATCCAAGAGCTTCACTGAACCAGTTGGCAAATGCCAATGTTTTTAAATGCACTATGAACTACCAAATTTTAAGCAAAAATAACACTCCAAGGTTTAGTGAAAGGAATTTAGTAACTGGATGCACCATCTCATTCAAAACTGACTGGGTGCTTTGTCTGAATTAGGGCACACAATACAGAGAGGTTATGCAATAAACAGCAATGTTGCAGTTCCTGATATAAAATGGAAAATCACTCTACAATACAAACGTTGCTTTTCTTCTGATATAACAGACAACCAGCAAAAGTTGAAGGATTCAGATTAATTTCAGTTGTCTTGAAAAATCAATATACACGAACTAAAGTGATATTTTCAGTTTCTAACCACTAAGAATACATAATGACGTTTGGAGCTGGGATCATCACCACTAACAAGCAGAGTCTGTTTAGAACAAAGTGTAAACTCACACCTACTTTACCTTTTACTATAATACCAGAAAATTCATTTCAAATACCCGCTACCATACAGGTGTATCTATCAAACATACATTCCCTTACACCTAAAAACAAACATCAGCTTCTACATGTAGCTTGTTGCATCGATATAAGCTTAAGCTTACCAATAATTGAAAATAAACTAACTCCACAAAACAAGGCACCCCAAAATTAAATACCTGCAGCTCAACAAACACATTTTGCCATTGAATGTCACTTCTCAGCAAAAGGATTTCGTGTTAACATGTAAACTGCAAACAAATTTCAACTGTCGTAAATGTTGGCTTCATAGATTGCAAAGGGCACGAAACGCACGTGGCTTCGCCGGTTGATCAAAATAATTATCGGAACTACTTATTTCTTTTTTCAGTTTCTGATCTATCCACCCATCAACAACAAGAGTTAATATAGTACTTTAGAAAACTTTGGAAATACATACAAGTTTTGCTCCCTGAGCTCTCTCTGTTTTTGTAGATTTGCCTCGTTGAATTTCAATACCCGGTTTTCTGGAACCCATTCGTCCCAGTTCTTGTTCCAGCCATTGTAATGAATAAGATATTTAGTAACTTTGTCCTTCAACTGGCCTTTCATGCATTTTGCTTCATAAATGAGAGGACCATGATAGCAGAGAATCCGTTCCCCTTCTCCAAACTTAAGTTTCGGAGGCATTACAGGGTGTATTTTCGCTGACTCACACAAAACTAACCCAACCAACTCCGTCAAAGGCAAGCTCAGTTTGTCGAACCCTGCTCGAAAAACGTGGTACAATCGTCGAGTGTTGTTATAAAACAACGCTTGATTGGTTTAAGTACAAATCTATTGTTAAAAATGACCAATCAGCGTTAGCGTAAGGAAGATAGCTTCATTTTCCCGCCATTCACTTCGCACCCAGGCGATCATGCGTTTATCCTCCAATCAATGGCGATTTGGCGTTTTCGAATCTCTTTCTACAAAGTAATTTTGGTCCCCTGCTTGGTTCTTCTGATTGTGCTATTTGCCGGTGAAATTTTCTACAGCTTTTCCGATGAAGAATTACATTTTGATGACGCTGCTGCTCGAGTGGACTTGATTAAACTCAAGGATGACTCGGATGAACCGGGCAAAAAATATGATTTCCTTGAAGTGGACGAAAATTGGACAGAGGGTTATTCAGAAGGTGTGCTTGCTTTAGATAGTGCGAATTGTTGATTGTGACTGAAGTTTATATGGGCTCCTGGTGCAGTAAAGAGAAAGTTTTCAGGGGCGGATCTAGGAATTTTTGATTGGCGGGGAGGGGGAGGGGGGGGGGCAAACTTTGGTTCAGAAAGGACTGTTGAGCTTTTTTGTGGCAAATTACTTCTCCCCCACACCCCCC